CAAAGGTAGAAGCATGTCAGATTCTTTGAGCGTACCACTTTGCCAGGTGCCTGCGTGAGGCTGCTTGGGTTGTCAGTCAGCGTGCCGACATGCAAACAGCAACCTCAGGCTACGTCCACGTCCTGAGGCGTGGGTTCCTTGGAGGGGTGCTGGAAAGCGAAAACACTTGCCTCGGTGTGGCTGATTTGGACCAGAAGTTCGTGGACGTGGGTAAGTTGACCGTTTACTGGATTGCACTTGCGCATGTAATTGTTGCGTGCAGTGAAGCTTGACAGGCTACTTGGGGCTGACCTTTGTCTTCCCAGCCCCTTATGAGCAGTGCAACCTTCGGACTGTTGCAATCAAGGCCGATTTGGTGTGTTCTGGCCCCAACCTACAAATCAGTCCAGAGGCAGCACTGACTCACAGTCCCCAGCTGTCGGTTCTCCCTTCATCTGCCAGGCCTTTGCTGACCTTGGCCTGGCAACAGCGGCAGGGCTCGGACTGCTTTAGGTGGCCGCCTGCTCGTTTGGACCAGCTGCTGGCGTCGGCCCGGCTTCCCGGGGGCGGGTCCAATGTTTCAGCTGCTTTGGGTGACTTTGAAGACCACCCTTGTGGTTGCAAGCTGGAGTGACGGAAAAAAAACTCTGGAGTCAAGGCGGCGTTTTGCCTGATTTGGAGGCCCGACCCCGGCCTTGGGAACCTGTGGCATGACGCTTGGGAATGGCTCAGCCCGCTTCACCGGAAGAAAAGGTTGCTGCTCAGGGTGTCTGGTGAGAAAAGCAAGCTGAGGTGGCCGAGCTGGGCGCTTTGTCTCAGGAAGAAGCCGCAAGCGTTGTCTCTTTGCCACTTGGGCACGCAAGTGCGACCCAGGATAAGGGGTTCCTTGATTAACAGGTACAGGTAGTTGTTTTTTTCCAGTAGGTTCTTCTGTAACTAGCACGGGCAGAGAAAGTGAATGGCACACATCCAAAACTGTGCGCGAGCTGTTGTCATCCAAGGATTGAGCACGTGGAGGACGCCAATGATTGGGAAGATTCACGTGTCTGATCGGCGACCTTTCATTCCGGGCAGCAGCCCATGGTTTTCCGGCTCCGATGAAAGGTTAGAGTTAGAGGTTGACGTCACCAGTTCCTTTTGGGCTTGGCGTTGTGAAGCTAGACAGGCTAAAGACCTGATGCTCTTGGGAGCGAGCCCTTGCAAGAAGTTTGCTGCGTGCAGAAAGCGTTCAACCCCTCAGCCAGGGAGTGTGGTAGGGTCAAGACTAGCAACGTGTTTTGTCCAAAGCAGCTTTGCAGCGTTGCACTTTCATGTCGGTTAAAGGGAGGGGTGAAGTTGGTTGCCTCCTTTCAATTGTTTAACTTCCGATGTACACAATATGTAGAAAGATATAGACAGAGAGAGAAATCCAATCTGTCCAATCCTCGGAGCAGGAGCTGCCACAGGCTTTGCCACGAGTGGGGGCGCTGGATGCGTTGATCCTGCGGCTGCTGGACCGCGAGCTGTCCTTTGCGAAGCCCGCGGCAGCCGAAAGCCGGCAGCTGAGAGGTCCAAGAGCCAAACCGCCAATCCTTAAGCCAATCAAGGGTGACCATGGTGAACTTTTGAGCACACTCCGACCCGGTTCCGGAAAGAGGCTGAAAAGGTATCGAGGGTTGATGCTGGGGTGGTGGAAAGGGAGGACGAGGATGGCCGGACAATGGATGGATGACCTTTGGTTCTCGTGAGGGGGGGGGGGGAGTGAGCAATTGTTTTGCCGGCAAGATGGAAAAAAGGAATAAAAGCATCATTCTCTTTGGGACATTGTTTGGCTACGGCAGGCCCTACTATTGCGCCAAAGCGCAACCAAGGTCCCTCGTCAAGACATGATTCAACAACAATCAGCACAACATATTGGCCCAGCCGTCACACGGGTCCCTCCCCTTCAACCTCTTGCTCGACTCCTTCGCGACCTGAGGCGACGCATGGCACAAACTCTGCGTTGAGCTCATCAGCACCATAGCGCCATAGCTCCGAAGCGTCGCTTATGGCCCCGATGTGTCTGGAGCTCGCGCCGCTGCCAGACGGAGGCACGCCTGCCGGGCCAAAGGAGCCAGGCGCGAGCTGCCCCAGAGTGCACAAATGAGGCGCGAACTAGACGACTGGCATGACTTGCAAACCTTTCCTGCTGAGGTAGGGTTTTTTGGGGGACTCCGTCCCTTTGCGGGCACTTGTGTTATTATCATGTTAGGTTGCGCATACAAGTACAAGTCTTAGGCTGACACGACACTCCTTTGCTCGATCGTGATCATCCTCGCTGGGTGCGGACATACCCGGAGTTAGAACCCCTGTTTTGGCTGGAGAGGGTGGTTTGCCCTTGCCGCTTGGTTTTCTCTCAACACGCTCAACTCGCTTCGAGCCGAGATGTCTGAACCTTGGCAGGAAGGCGTCGGGCTCCGGCCCGGACGAAGGCGGGAGATTGCCTCACCTGGCACCCACTTGGGTTGTGATGGACTTTGTACATGGTGTGGCGATCAGTGGGCCAATTCCGATGTCCATCGTTCATTCCATCCTGGGGGCCATGGGTTTCCCCTCGCCGGCGATTTGGTCAGCTGGGTCTCTAGAATCTTTAGAGGAAACGGGATTGACAAGGATAGCCTATTTATCTTCAAAACAGGGTCGGAATAGAAGTGGCCTTGGGAAGTAGTTAAGGCCTGGTGTGGTTTGCAATCCTGTGGGCAACATGGAAGTCGCACTACATTTATCGATGAACCCACAGCCTTCATTTTGGCAAGCTGTTTGTGCACGGTGCGTGCGCAGGATGGATCAGCGCAAAGCTGAAGGACAAGGCTGGGCTGCCTCCTTTGCGAAGCCTGCGATGGCTTCCCCAGTTGTTTGCTGATTGTTCCGCTGGCCAAATCGACATGGGTGAGCCGATGAAAATGATAAAGCTTGGGGTATTGGCTAAAGGTACTGCCAAACAGGATTATCAAGCGGGCCCAGAGCCACAAGGACTGAAGTTCATTGAAAGTAGAGCAGTTAAGCATAATCATGACTGGCTGGGCAGCCCCTCCAAGGCGATTGACGGAGCCATGGCTGCTGGCTTTTCGGCTCATACACCCTTGAAATTGTGTGCTTACGATTGCCTTGACGTTTGCCTTCACATGTGCAGCAGAACACCCGGGGAACAGACTAGTGATGGCCCACCCCACACCTCCAAGCGTCATGCGAAGTTGGTGGGACTGGGACAGTGCTTCTTCAGTTCTTCGTTTTCCAACATGAACAACTGGAAAAGTGTCACCTAGCAACATTAGTAGGCTTGCCGCATGTCGAGCCCTCCAGCCATGCAGGCTGGGTAACTCCATGCGATTGCTGGCCGGCGTACTTTCAGAAAGGCAGTTCTGCCGACCACAAGGAGTTTCTTCAGATTAGTGGTGATTTGTGTCCAGGCTTGACTATGCTCTTGTAAAGATGTGCCATGCCACCTGGCTTCATGTTTTCCTGCTTGATCCCGTGTGGTTGTTTTCCTGGCTTCCCGCAACCAAATGCAGGCCAAGCCGCCTGTGAACTCAGCCACTTGGTCAAAGGGCCGCAGAGAGCCACATCCAGGATGTCTTAACAACCTTTTGTGAACGAAACTGTGCTTGATTCGGGCCAATTGAATATCAGTCATCAGCTGAGTCAGAGGATCCCGCTTGCACTTGCTACATGCGTGTAGGAGGGGAGCCTCCTAAGATGTTTGATACCAAATGCTTCATGTTAAATAAAACCCATGCATATATGAATAATTATATATATATATATATGTAAACATGTATGTATTTATATATGCATGTCTATATATATATAGGCTATTCGTTTTATGCAAAGCAATTCCAAATAAGTTATAACACTTAATTATGGCAATAGTAAGGGTAACAATTGTAAGAACAAGAAGGATGATCGATTCTTCTTTTTAGACAATATTGCTGTTGGTAGGCCAGTGGTTCATGCCATAGTATGGGTGGCATTCTCTTGTAGGGGGTCCCATCATGCCGGTCCCTAGTTTGTAATCTGCTGGATGGACAGGCGGGAGTGTTTCCCGCAAGCAGAGGATACACCGAGCAAAGGTCAACAATGAATTCGCAAATCAGGGGTCCACAGCCTTTCAACACTCAGAAGCTGACAGGAATCCTTAAAAGGATGACACCTGCCAATATGCAGGTTGGATGCCCAAAACCGAGCTTCGCCTTACTTCGTTTCTGGTGATGAAAGCACCCCATGGGGAAGTCATGTCCCGTGTGAGTGTTCAAATGCGGCTGTGGGTCAAAACCAATGGTACCATGTTGGGGTAGGTGCACCACCCATTCTAGTCTATTTTAGTGGGGATTGGGATGTTCACTGGGAGTACGGGGTTTTGACCCATGGCCATGTGGCGCAGCCATGGAGCCCATCCCAACTCTTGGAGAAACTTCCTCGTGTTTTTCCCGAGGCCCGCGTGCCTTACTTGGACTTTGCGGAGGACTTCGTGGGCGTCATCTCACGGGGCGAGAAGCGGGCGACCACGAGGTGCCCTGGGCCCAAGGACGGGCTGGTGGTAAGGCTCAGTCCGAAGCAAGTGGTCGGAATGTGTTCCTTTTGGTTTCCGGCGGTGTGTGCTTGTTTGCGTCCTGGCAGCCCCCGGTCTGTTGGGCAAGTGCGGACGCGTCTCTGCTGTGGCAATTCTTGGTCAAGACAGACAGAAGTACAGAAGTGACTACACCTAACATTCAGGCGTGTGGCTCGACAGGCCAGAAGGGAGGCAGCCTAAGGAACACTGAGGTTTGTCGGAGCTGGCTTAAAGCACTGCCCCGTGAGGACACCGATGTCACCAGCGCAGCTGGGCTGCAGTGTGGGAGGGGGGGGGAGTTGCGCATTGGCGACGAGCTGCTTGTGTCACATGTTTGGGGATCCCCTGTTCAAGTAACAGCCTCGGTGAAAGACTGGTTCAATCAAATCCAGCGGCTGTGAACTTGGAGGCTAGCCAGGTGGGTTGTGAGCTTTGACCTTTCAAGCATACTTACCGTGAAAGGCACCAGTGAACGCTTGCTCTTGAAGATGTTGCACTTTCCTACTGAGAACCAGCAAGATGGTGACCCAGGATTTGGACGCGGTGATCGCCCAGGGCTGGGCCCTGGCCACTGCCGGGGGAAGAAGTTCCTTCGCGCTGCTGGCGGTGGACCGCGTCGAGCGCCGCGCCCCGGTTGTTCCCCTCGAACTCAGTTGGGAGATGGAGGGGGTAGTGGGCAATTGGCGTTTGGGTTCCAACATTCACAAGCACCATTAAAGTGCAACAAGCTAGCGTGGTGTATGCACTTCGCTGCAAAGGGATTTTTCCCAAATCAGCAGTATGCCGCTCCAAGATCACTATGAAGTTCCTTGATGAGACCGCAGAAATGTTGACGATGAAGATGTTGAAGGTTGAGCAAGCAGGCCGAAAGTGCAAGTGTTCACTGGAATTGCACAGCATGCAGGTCATGGCCATTTGGTTCGCCCATGGTGCTCAGCGCGCGTGTGACGGGCACATACTGAGGAGCGCTGGCTGAAGTCGACGATAGCCTCGCGCAAGAAGAAGGCAACTTAGTGCACGTCCGCGAATCATGGCCTTTCCATGGAGTTCGGAGCTCCGCGCCATTGCCATTGTTGGAGCAAGCGACGTAACAGCATGGCGGCCAACCGTTTCGTGCAAGAACTTGCCATGTTCTATCGGACGGCGTCTCAAGGAGGTTGAGACCCTCCCCTTTTGGCGAACTGAGTTAGAATGCCCAGGTCTGCACACGGGCGATGAGCTCCGTAGCACCTTGCAGCGCTTCTATCCAGAGCTTGCTGCCGATGATGTGGTGACGGTGGTGCATTTCCAATTGTTGCGTCTCGGCAGACAAGGAAAGTTCACCGTTGATGTGGCCTGCATCGCTGGCCGATTTTGCACAGACTTCAAGGGGCCGTTGTACTCCATTGTGCTTCATTGCTTTTAAGCTTAGCCAGCTCCCTGTATCTGAGGAAGCTGATCCCCGCAGCGGGCGGATAAAAGATGTGCCTTGCTTGGGGCACCGCCATCTACTAATGACTGGTTCAAACCGCCTCGAGCTTTAGCCATAAACATCCTGGATCCGCCTTGACAGCGGGGTTTAATCATGTAGCCGCGTGTCGCCCCACCTCATCTGCTGACCTTTGGCTTCAGGGAAGCTCCTTAAACCCAGCGGCCAAAGTACGACCAGTTGCCTGTGCATCGGAACTAGTTGGACCTCGTGGTAGGCTTCCTGCGCCCTTTTTGCCGCCGGTTGACACCAGAAAGAACGGGCCCGAAAACTTGAAACTCCGGCTCTTTGGAGCAGGCGCTGGCTGTTCGCATCGAGGATTTGGCTCCCGCATGTGCCTCAGCATGCCAAGGTGTGCGACATTGCTTTGTCAGTATTCACATGTTGGCTCGCTATCCCAGAGCACCTTGGATGATCCAGTAAAATACTGTCAGAAGCATGTGCTTTTGTCTTCAAGCCACTTTTCGTGGTATGTTCATTGCGGTCAAGCATGACTGTCGAACGAAGAGGTGACTTGCACGAAGTTATCATGGAGCAAGTGGCATGATAGCCACTCATCTCTGCCTGAGGAGGTGTAAATAGCCATTGCAGTACTTGCTGCAATTGCCAGGACCTTGCATGTCATAAAAGGGGCCCAACTCCAATCACAGAAGTTCTGCCGGTGCAGAGTTGTAGCATGTTGTTTTCCGCCCAGGTCCTGGTGTGTTTCTACTCCGGCGGCATGACGTCGGCGCAAGGGCCGTGAACTCAGGTATTTTTGGAGGATGGTCAAAAAGAATAGGTTCCTCAAGTTGGAGCCATGCACATAGGAAGCAGGCAGCGATGAACATCAGCAAATGAAGAGGCGTCGTTGTTGCACTGTGTGTTGGAGCAGGGGCCATCTCCGTTTGCCAAGGCGGGCACACCTGAGAGCGCGAGGCTTATCGCCGGCCTTGGCTGAGAATTCGCTGAGCCTGCGAGCATGATGGCATGTGTGTATTGGACGCGTTCGCCGCAATTTAAAACCAGTTCGGGGGGAGTGGCAGAAGCTGTCACCGCAGAAAGTAGTCAAAATGGCTGTGAATTCCATTTCTTTGTGTTGGTGCCCCATGCCCAGGTGTTCCTGGAAGCAGCCCGTGCGGCTGGCCTGTCCACACAGCTTGCTGGGGGCTTGGCCTTGGGGCAGCACTGAGACTGCCATGGGGTTCGGGTGATTTCAGGATGGCGTGTTGACTAAAGACCCAACCGTGTGAACGTCACCGGCAGCGCCTCGTTTCCATCGATCAAAATCCTCAGGACAAAGCAAGGGAAACGACCTGGTAACGAGTTTAATTTGAGATCTCAAAGGGACATGGGCTCGAAAATGCCTGACCAAGGACGGCAGGAATCAGCTCATGAGTTTCTTATTTTAAGACAAGCAGCGATCATCACGTGAACATGCTGGATTTTTGTTTTGCTCTAGCAGATGCTGGGAGACGCTCCACCCCTCCCTGTCAACGGCTGAAGGGCCTATTGGTCACTTGGGAGATGCGCTGGTTTGCTGCCACCCCTTGTCCAACCACGACCAATAAGGAACAGGTGGGCAGCACTACAAAAAAATGAGTTTGTTGGATCTGATGCAGCAAGTCGGAAGGCTTTTTAGCCCTCCCCGTTATCATTCGTTTGTCGCTTGGACTGGATGCTCAAGGTCAAGCTGCCGGCGTCAAGCGCCATGGAGTACTACCCGCAAGGCCCGGGATATACCGCAGGGCGGCTGCAAGCCGTGCCGGCGATGAACCCTGCGGACGACAAGTACGAGGCGAGCGTCTTTGCGAGCCGGTTCTCCAAACTGAATTTATGTTCTCCAAAGAGCGTATCTTCGACGTTACTTTTTGCCCCCTCGGTGGTCATCACGCTCCTGGTGACAAGCCGAGAGCTGGTTTGGCTGAGTTCATTTTCCTTTGCGCCTCTCCGACAGGTGGTGTACTCGCTGGTGCAGGACCTGCAGCGGGGGGACGAGCGCGAGCAGCCGCTGCTGGAGCTGTCGAAGCGGCGGGAGGCGGTACAGGACCTGGCGCCGGTGTTGTGGTGGGGGCCTCAGATGGCTTAGGTCCAAAGCGATGTGATTCTATGAAGTGTTCCTATCATAGCTGCCTCGCACAAAGCTCCAACGGTCCTAAACCAAGTCGAGCCCCATCACTGAACTCTCACCCTGTAACAGCCTGACCCAACCTCAAGCGATTCAACACGTGCTGTAAGAATGCGGGTTCTCGTTATAGAGAGCACAAAAGGTTGCAGGGTTCAGTAAAGCAAGGCGAGTGACTTGCGTTTTTTTGTGCAGGGATTTAGGGATCCGCGGCCCACGGGATCCATCCCCTGTATGGGTGCCCCCCTCCTTTACCAGAGAATCATTTATAGAGGGGTCCCTCAGAGCGTGATAGGAAATCCCATAAGCCATCGACGATATGATTCTGAAGAGGGGTGGGTTTGCACAACGAGCCATGGAAGGGCTGATTTTTTGGGGGCCCATCATTTCCTCCTTATCCGTCGCACATGTGAATGAAGCAAAAGGGGGGGGGGGTTGGGATGTTGGTAGGGCAGAGATGCCGAAGCAAAAGCCACATCGTTCACCAATGGTTCAAAAGCCGACCTTTTAGATATCCCGTCTCAGCCTATGCTTTTGCAGGGTCCTCAAATTGCAAGCTTGGGCCTGCAAGTAAGACTCCTTCGTTTTCCAGCGCGTACCACACGGAGCAACAGGCTTTCCTCTTCGAGTCAGTTGAGCCTTTGGCAAGGGCAGCGTAGCTTGACGTCGACATATAGCACGGCGTTTCCAAATTGACTCCTGGCAATTGGCCAACGCCGGGCAACGAGCTTTTGCTGAGGAATTCCTTTGGGACCCTCGTGGTGCTCATTCAGGAAATTGTGCAGATCTACCCGCAGCTGGCCCAGCCCAACAGCCTCACCGCCTCTAGCTCCAACCGGGTTTGCAACTCTTTGGCGCTGATGCAGTGCGTGGCATCCCATCCGGACACCCGCCCCCTGTGCCCATGGCTCGATTCAGGAAAAGCTTTTTGAGCCTGCTTCGGGGCTCACCATGTTTTTTTGGTTTGCAACTTGTCATGCACATGTTTTCTGTGCTATCGCTTGGGACCGTTGTTGTCGCGACGTAAGAAGTCTATGGTTTGCAACTTGCGCTGTGCAGCTCGTATGTGTGCGTGTGTCTTTTGTGCTATCGCTTGGGCCCTTTGTTGCCACGTGCCGAAGTTTATCAAATTGCGTACAGCCTCACTTGCGACGGCCCAGGTTCCTGAAGGCGCAGATCCCACTGCTTTTGTACCCCTTCCTCAACACCAACAGCACAGAGAGGCCTTTCGAGTATTTGAGGCTCACCTCTCTGGGTGTCATCGGGGCACTGGTGAAGGTGGACGACCCCGAGGTCATTAGCTTCCTTTTGCACACCGAGATCATACCGCTCTGCCTGAAGATCATGGAGATCGGCAGCGAGCTCTCCAAGACAGTGGCCACCTTCATCATTCAGAAGCTGCTGCTGGACCCGCAGGGCTTGCAATATGTGTGCCACTCCGCGGAGCGTTTCTATGCAGTGACCAGCATGTTGGCCAAGATGGTCGATGTGCTGCTGCAGGCCCCTTCCATCCGGCTGCTGAAGCATGTGGTCCATTGCTACCTGCGGCTTTGTGACAATGCCCGCGCCAAGGACGGGCTCCCCAGTCTTCTCATGGAGCCTTCAATTCTCCCACATGAATCTGAGTCATGTTGAATCCAACATCTTGCCTGGAGTTGGGTCCCCCCAGCGAAATGTGGTTTGGACCACCTTCTGCCCTCCAATCATCCAATGCTGGGGAAGCCCTGCCCTGGAGGAGGTTCTCAAGCAGTGCTTACCCCCTGCCCTGCAATCGGATCCAAGCCTCAAGAGACTCGCGGAGCCGATCAGCAACTGCCTGGAGGAAGACCAGATGACCAAGCGCTGGCTGGTGTCCTTGGTTACCAGCCTAGGCTACAGGTGATGGGCCCAGGCCCTAAACCGCACAGGTGGATCACCCTGAAGCACAGCATGGTTGCCACAGAAAGCTGCTTCGGGACCAAATTCGAAGCAACAGGCCCCTTTTGAAGCCTGTTGCACTCATTCACCATTTGTAAATATCCAAGTTGTCAGAGGAGCTGCCAATGATCGCGCGCCGACGATGAAAAACTTGCCAGCGACAGCAAGCATTGTTTCAGAGACGGCTGCATGGGAAGACGGTCACAGCGCCACTCAGGTCTTGGACCATGCCACGGAAGAGCCTTTCAGGCCACTCCAAGCTCAAGCCAGAAGGGTGCGTCTTCCAGCATTTCGAAGGGTGGTGATCTTTTAAGAGACTGGGACTGGCCTGACCAAGCCAAGACAAACTTTCAGGACGCTTGGCCAGGGAAGTTGTTTTGAACCAGCCAGACCATTGCCCCAATCGCAGGAAGCTTACGGAAGGGTCGTATCCCTTTCCCAGAGCCAGGCACTGCGAAAACTGGCCGCGCTACCTCGACGCTCTGCAGCGAGAGGCGCACGCCAAAGCTATGGTTCCAACATGTTTCAAGGATGTGCAAACCTCATGGCCACTTGGCCATGTCTGATATCTTGGACTTTGTTTAGACCTTTGAAAACATGGGCCCTCAAAAAACTTGCCCAGTTTCGATAAACTCGCGCTACTGCCAGGGGTTCGCACATTATGCATTCGAAATGCGTCCTTGAAGATGCACACATACCCTGCGAAACCAATAAACAATACCATGGTCCTGTAGAACAAGCATTGCAAGCGGGATGGTGGGAAACAGTCAGAATGGGCTCGGCGTTGGCGAGTTGTAAGACCAAAAGATGACGGCTCTATCATTAGAAAGCACATTATTATGTGCAATGCCTGGGGTTATGTGCAATGCCTGGGGTTGGGTCTACTTGCGCAGTTTCTTGTGGTTGCTTCAGCGCAGGGTTCTGGCTGGTTGAGTATTTTGTGCTCCGCGTTTGGGCCGCTTTGTTGGGGCTACAAAGCAGCCGAACACCAACTTAACACTACACCAGAGCCAACTTGCCAGCCGCAAACCCGGCGAGAAACCGCCCTCAACCAACTCCAAGCCCGCAAGAAGTCACACTAAAATTCACACATCATGTCCAATCCTGGGACAACCCTAAAGCAACACAGTCCAAGTATCGCCCTGAGCTCCTAAAGTAGCCCCAAACCTGGCGAAGCTGTAGTTTGCAACGTGATGTATTTATCAACCATGTAAAACCCCAATGCATGAATGTCTCACTTGCGTAGTCTCATCATTACGACTGCGTATGGCTCAAGGAAAAAGCGCGCTGAGTACAGGGTTCATTTGTGACCCTTCCCGGTTGTTCAACCTGTTCTATAGGTTATCAGCCGTAAGCGGCTCTTTGTACAGAGTTGTACGCCATGGATGGCGACCCTGGACTACCCCATACCGAGGTGCGTCCCACACCTGATGAGCCCGCAGGCGATGAAGACGCCTCGCAATATGAACCGACTAGTCGAGCAAACTCCCAAGTGGCCAGGGAGCTCAGCAGGAAGGGACAGGCACTGAGCAGTCAGGGCCCCGAATCACTTCGATCTCGGAGTGACCGTGGGAGGACTGGGCGGTCTGGTGCTCGATCGCCTTCACCTGTTGGATCAGATCGGCATCGGCATGGTGACATCGTCATGTACGACCCCCAGACCGATCTCGCAAGGGGAAACCCTATGCCACAGTCCATGAATCAGTTCAACCAACATGTTGCAAACGTCCACCTCGATCCTTCAATGACGATCAACCAGGACGTGATGAACTATCAGCAGATCAACGCTACCCAGAACAATGCCCAATTCAACCAGTTCGTGAATCAGGACACCGGTCCCATGGTCGCCCAGATGGCAGAGGCAAGGCATGGTGAGATTATTGCCGGACTTCAAAGCCAATCGGAGGCCATGAGACGCGAGATTCAAATGAATGCGGAGCAGCGTGTGAACACCATGAAATCAGAAAGAGAAGCCGAGATGAAGTACCAAAACGCCATGAACACGATCAGCGAGCAGGAGAAGCAGATCAGGGAGCTAAGGGCTATGGTCGAGCAGATGATGCAGAGTCAACAGCAACCGCCTGCTCAACCTGCTCCAGCCCCTGCGCCTCCCGTTCAGCAGGCACCAGCTACCCCCTTGGCTATCCCAACCGTTCCCTTGGCTGCATCTCCACCCGGACTTTCGAATGCTTCCTCGCACAGTTGGACGAAGGTCGGGAGCGACCCCTACGGCAAAGACGGATCCGTTCCCGCCGGGGCCGTGGACGATGCTGCTACCGGAGACGGTTGGCCTTGCGATGATGGTGATGGTGGAAATGACAAGGACAAGAAAAAGAGGAAGAAGAAGAAAAAGAAGAAGGACCGTAGCCGACGCCGGCGACGAGATCCATCATCTTCTCCCTCGTCATCTTCGTCATCAACTTCGACTGCATCGGATGAATCCTTTCGACGAAAGCTACTGAAGCACTTAGGTAATTCGAGCGATCCGACAGCGGAACGCGTTCGTGTAAAGGAGGGTGACAGAATTCAGATTCCCCGATTCCCGAAGCCCGAACAGTACCGTAATTGGAGGATCAAAGTTAGGGATGCTGTTGTTGCTACTTCCGACCAACCCGAAAAGGCATTTGAGTGGATTGAGGCAACTTGGATCCCAGGTCAAGCTGTTGAAGTCCTTCGTGACAGGAATGTTTGTCCATCTTGATGCAAAGCTGGCATCGGCGTTGACGAATATCTTGGAGGGCGACCTCGCGCGGCAAGTCGACATTTTCAAAGAACAAGAAGCAAAGGAGAAACGCTACGCGAGGGGACGCCAAATTCTTTTGATGATTCACAAGCACTTCAGCACGAACATCAAACATGGTGCAATTTACGACTTTGAGGACTTGCTCTCTGTCCAGCTCATCAACGAGGACCTCAAGAACTTCATGACAAGATGGGACACGGTCATCGCTGGAATGGGCAATGAGCAGAATGAGAAGACCCTTGAAGCGCTGTTCCACCGCCAGATTCGAAAGTTTCGGCCTCTCAGTCATGATCTCAATGAGTATGAGCGGGCTGAGGAAGGGACGGAAAAGCACTCCTATAAATTCTTGATTGACGCATCGAGGAATTATTTGGAGCGCAAGAGGCTTGTTCACATGCGGGATGCTATGTCAAGCAACACAACGGGACGTGGCAGGACTCCATCGAACAACCCTGCAGTTCCTGGAATCCCCAAGGGTGTATGTGTGAAATTTCAAACTGGCCAGTGCACCTATGGTTCAGACTGCCGATTCGAACATGTTAAGGCAGGGCGGATCAAGATCCCAGACGCCAAGGAAGTATCGTTCGCAGAGTCCCCCTGGTTCGAAGCCCCAGGTGTGCAAGTTCTTCAAAGCGAACAGATGTGAGAGAGGGAAAGATTGCCCATGGCAGCACCCCGCAACTTCCAAGGCAGCTCCAGCCCCAAAGGCCGAGAAGACCACTAGTGGAGACACCCCCAAGACATCGCTGAGAGAGAAAAAGAAGAAGAAGAAGAAGGGTAGCAGGCCTTCCTCTCAAGATTCGAAAGATTCGAAGGGTTCTCAGTCCCTCAAGTCTCCGCGATCGTCAAAAGGCAGCAATGCTGCGGTGTGCCTCCTCCAGGCGATGGTGTGCGCCGCGACCCTCGACTCGGTCGCCTCGCATCCTTGCTTGCCTAGTGTGACTCACGATGTTTTCCAGAGTATGCCATGTATCAAGAAGTGCGTGCAATTCTCTGATTACCCATCTATTTCGAACTATGAGACTGACGGCGAGCTTTGGCCCTACACTGCCTCGTCGAGAAGGTTTGCACACAAGTTTCCTGTTGATTATGTTCCGAAGTTCGATGAGAGAGCTGTTTCTGACGCAACTCTTATCGGCACCATGCATGAAGCTATGATGAAGGCACGAAGACTCCTTGCAAATTTCAATGCGACTCTGATTTCGGCTGTGATTCCTGCATCCCCGCAGGCCTAACGGCCGAGCCAGAGAAGCCCGAGACCTCCCCCAAAAAGGGGAAAGCTGCTGTTGCTCGTATGACAATGGATTCTTCTCACATTCCGTGGATCGCGGACACAGGAGCTTCTCAGGATTTGTTGTCGGGAACCGATGCGGAGGTGGGGTGTATTTACGAGTCGTCTCAGCCTCTGAAATTTTCCACAGCCAATGGGAATATTATCGGTACCAAGCAACAGACCGATAGTGTTGTTCGGCCATATGTTCTTAACAAGGCTCCATCCGTGTTATCCGTGGGTATGAGATGCCTCAGGGACGGATATGATTTCGTTTGGAGAGCCCGCAGCAGACCTTATTTCCGACTTCCGGATGGTTCACGTATCAAGCTCGAGGTCAAAGACAATGTTCCATTCATTCCCCCAGCAACTCAAAATGCTGTTCCAGCTTTGTCACAGAGCATTCCAAAGGTTACATCATTACCATCAGCTCCCATTGAAATTGAGGATGAAGTTCTAGTCATTGACGAGGAACCAGAAGCTGTTGAAGAGGTGCTTGTGACCAATGAGGATGATGGGGATGAATTGGGGAACGATGATTTCTTGCTTGAGGACACCATTAGCCAACCGGAAGGTGAGGTCATTGAAGAGTGCCATGACATTCCCTCCGAAGATGCGCCTAAGGTCATCGCTTCCGATTTTGTGTCTAAGCCTATTTTGAAGGACGCCCCTCGCGAACGCGGTGAAGCAGCTTTGCGTGATGAGGCGACCTCACTCCAGCACTTGATGTGTCACACTCCCAAGAACCCCTTTTGCGAGACTTGTAACAGGGCAAAGATGTACAAATATCCATCAAAACAGAAGGGAGGTTCCACTCAAGTCGAGGCCAAGAAGTTTGGTGATCACCTTACGGCGGACCATCTTATCACATCAGATGATCGTGAAATCGGCATTGATCAATCTAGAGTTGCACTTGTGGTTCGAGATGTTGCCACTGATTTCCGTTATGTTT